AAAATCACCGTATAAACGTGAGTTGGTGTGGCGTAACATAACATTAATGGCAATATTGCATTTGTCAGCTCTGTATGGCTTTTATTTGTCCATAACTGTGGTTCAGTTTAAGACAATTATTTTCATGAACTTTATTGCTATGTTTTCATCGATGGGTATTCAGGTATAAAATAATCAATAGTAGAATCAATAATAGCTAATTGTATTATATACTATTGAAATCAGTGTGGGGCTCATAGGTTATGGTGTCACCGGACATATAAAGCCAAACTCCCCCTTCAGGTCATACTAATGGTGTTGCAAACAATGGCCCTCCAGAACGACATATTTGAATGGAGTCGCGACCATCGCCTGCACCACAAGTACTCGGACACCGACGCCGACCCACACAACTCCAGTCGGGGTTTCTTTTTCTCACACGTCGGTTGGCTTTTATGCAAAAAACATCCTGACGTTAGGGATAAGGGAAAGACACTCGACATGACAGACCTGGCTAACGACCCACTGGTCAAGTTTCAAAGAGCTTTTTATATACCATTAGTGGCATTAATATGGGGAGCGATTCCCACGTATATACCCTATTATCTATGGGGTGAGTCCGTGTGGAATGCCTGGTTTGTTTGTGTTATGCTCCGGTACACAGGGGTGTTAAACTTGACTTGGTGTGTTAATAGTGCTGCCCATATGTATGGCATGAAGGTATACCTGTAATAACCTCTAATAAATTATTAATTGTTAGTTGACTGGCTTTCTATTGCCAATAGCCATACGATGGTAGTATAGTACCGGTTGAGGCGGATATGAGACATTATTTAGTGGGCGAAGGTTTTCACAACTATCACCACACTTTTCCCTGGTATTAAACATACAGATAATTATAACTACCAAATATTTATAGCTAAATATCTGTGATTTAGGGATTACTCGGCCTCTGAGTTGGGTTTCATCGACGCCTTCAATCCTGCGACGGCTTTCATCGACTCGTTTGCATCGATTGGATGGGCCTATGATCTAAAGAAAGCATCGGATGATATGGTGAAGAAGAGACAGACCAGATGTGGTGACGTTCACTACAAACATAAATCTCGATTTATGGAAAACTTGACTGGCTCATTCGTGTTGGCACTGCCCATGTGGGCTCTATTCTTAATCCGACTAAATGTATGTCTTTTGTTATTAGTAGCGGTCGTGTGTTATCTCGTAGCGAACCAACCAAACGGTTTCTCTCGCAAACAGAAAGTTATATAAATTTATGATAAAATTTTAAAAAGTTTTAGCATAGATTTTTTTTGTTAATCTTTAATTATAATTTATAATTTTCATGCAATATTTTTAAATTAAAACAAATTATAAATTCTAAATTTAAAATTAACATAAAATTAGATTATAATATAACTTATTAATCAGACACATTTACTTAATACAATAAACTAATTATAATAATTGTAGAAAGAGCGTCAATGC